ATGGAAGCTTGATGGAAAAAGAGTACTCCTGACAACGGCAGATTAGGAATTCGTTGTCAGAAAGATCTTCTAGGCCAAAAAAAATACTTGAGGACTTATTCGACCGAGTAAGGAGGAGTTGGTGTAGAGGCCAATTGGAGACGTAGCGCTTCAGTGTACTTGAAGCTAGGGATTTCTAGCCTCAGGGTGGCGAAGTAGACTTACAGCCAGAGCTGGAAAACCTAGAATGGGCCATTCGTGTGCGGGTCAATTTTGGTAACGATCGTTTCGGCCAGGCAACGCATGAGGTTAGCAAGGATGGCCGAACTAAAAGCTAGGGTGTGACCATTGACCAGGGCTTCGACCACTAGAATCTTTTCGATCAAACATTTTTTGACTTGGTGCAAACAATAAATTTATTATACTAGTAGAATATAAAGGCTTCATGTTCCCTTTTCCGTAGGTCGTCTTCCCCTCGGCCAGCAAAGTGATGGATGAAAGTGTTATAGTTGAAGAAGTTTTTGTGTAGCTTCTAGACTTCTTTTTTGGGGCTTCTTGGTCTTTCTTCTTTAGGGCCTCAATGACACACTTATCGAATAAAGATTTGAGGTCTAAGTCAAATTGATACCCAAGAAGGACGATATCAACTGGAAGACCAGATGGACAAGTGCCAAGGATGGCTGATATGTCGTGCACGATCGGGCCAATGGGGTCGAGGGGGAGTACCATTGTGTTGGTGGCTAAGTACCAAAAACTTAGGGGCTCCATAAGAAGTTCCCGATCCATAACAATCTTAACAGTCGAAAGCTTGATGGCATCATAAGGGCCAAGACTTTTCCACTCTGTGCTAAAGAATTTTTCCATTTGTTCGACCCAAGCTGCCCAGGATGCAGGGGTTAAAGGCCAAGCTCCTTGAGGCCTGGCCAAATCCCATTTCGACCAATCATACCCTTGGAGCAAAGGTTTCAACAAAAGACCTTGAGCATGTTGGTGATGGCCTTTGGGACGATGTCTTTGAAAAGTGGTCCTAAGATTTGGTGGGTAGCATTTGAATCGCCTTCAAACCGTAGGGTCTTGATAGCATTTTGGCCAATAAAGTCATTGCACTTGGTGCACTCCTCAGAAAGCTTGGTAATAAAAATGTTGGAAGTCATTGATTAAGACTCGAGGGTTTTTCTGGGTTTGAGATTTCTAGGTTGTAAGAGCAACTGGCAAGAGATTCAAGAATTTTGAGAGTGTAAAAATTGAATGAAGGTGAGTTGAGTATTTATCGAATAAAGGTGGATTGTGAGAGCAACTGGCAAGAGATTCAATAATTTAGTCTTTTAAAGTGGGGGATAGAATCGACCAGGGGATTTTGTAATCATGATGAATATTCAAAAATCCAAGTGAAGAGTCCGAAGAACTTGTGGATTGAGGATGCACGTTTGCGTGTGGCGACGGTTACACAATTGAAGAGTCATTATTAAATGCAGACGAATAAGATGAGGGATCGCCGCTTGGCAGAGCATCTTACAGAAATAAGATCGTGCAATCGTTCTTCATAAATGCAACTGAGTGAATGGAATATCAAGATTTTTTATTGTCTTTTAAACATATGCTAAGGGTTTGATTTCACTTCTTCAAGGTCGAGGCTTGGCCGGGTGTTTAGGCCGAATACCTCAGAAGTGAAAAGGCAATGTTTGGGCCCAAAATGTTATTAAATATTCTCAGCCCAATGGTGTTTATTTAAAGTCTTGTCATGGGCTGGCCCTGTTGAGGTTGGCCAAATCCTACTACAATGAGGATTATTTCGGATAAATAGTCGAATCCTGGTATAATAAAGAGCCTCAAAGCTAAAGTATTTGGGATTAAGAGATGAACCTAGTTTGTTTGAAGGTTTGATTCAGAATCCTATAAAGATTAGAATTGGTCTAAGTTTAATCAGATTGGGTTGAGGAATCCTAATCCAAGTATATCTCTAGTTTGGTCAGAAGTAGGCTCGTTGCCATAAATAAAAGACATTGTGTGACATTTGAGCTCCCTACAATTCAACACACAAATTGCCCTGCGCAAACTCTCGCTCTACACGGAACCTCTCAACTACCTTAAGATTTTTATTTTCTTTTTTCGCCAACACATCTTCAGTTTGGATAAACAGCACTATTGCCGTAAAATCAGCCGATCGCAAAGCACCTTCAGTTTGGATAAACAACACTGCGTCGAGGCTGACTGGTTATCTATCCAAGTATCGGTCGAGAAGGATTTTCAAATCCTTATTAGCAGAGGTTATCTCATTAGCCTTCTCGACGAAGTAAGGTATTACATATTATTGGGCTCGACGCATTGAACGCCGAGTTGTTTTATGATTGGATATTCACAAGTAAGTTTTAGAGTTCCACATTCTGACAGCCGAACCACATTTACCATTAAGACATAAATGTCTTTTAAGTACTTGTGTCTGTATAGTTTGGTGCCAGTTCATCATGCTTATACTCTTACGAATATAATCACTATGACCGAACCCGAAGCAAGACAATCCGTGAATGGCACTAATGATCCGTGAACCTCGGCCGCAGTCGCAAGAACAAGAAGTCAACAGCGCGCTTAATGCAACATCAACATATTTTACTCCCCGACCGAGCTCGGCCGACAAGTTGGCACACCCCGCACACAACCGAATGATGTAGTTAGCTTATTGATTACTTGGCCTGCGTGCCACGTAGGCTTGGTAGTTTTTAGGGTCAACAAGTATACATAGGTTCAAGCATAATCATCATTAGTAAGTCCCAATAACGAGTTTAAGTACAATAATGACAACAGGGATTAATTGTAGGAGAATGATCTCTTTTTACGGTTAAGAAGAATAGCTCGTTTTCGTCCGCACTTGATGTGGGACTCTAGGAGCTATATTCTAATGTTGACACGTGTCGTATTGTGATTGGCCTCAACACTTGTGCTTTTGTAGGGGTGTCTCAACATGAATCTTTCAGCAAGTCCCAAAAGTAAGAAGTTGACCGCTGTTTGGTAGTTTCAGGATTGGTGAAGTATGGTTCAAACATAATTTTTAATAGAGTTAGCCAAAATGATCATCGCTCCACATTATAACAAGTTTAGAAACCAATACTCACAAATTTTAAGTTCAGAGACTAAAACTCCAATTGAACTAAAGTTCACAAACCATTTCTCCAATTATCTCTAATCTTAAATATGTTTTTTCTTTCGTATAAAGAAAATCAAAATCATGTGTTGGTTGTGCTAACAACCTATTTAAACAAGTCATCTTGCGAAGAAGGGATCAACGTTTCTTTTTCCAACCGAAGGATGCTTAGTTTTTTATTTGAATTTTATGAGGTACATTTGACTTCTCGAGCTCGGACTTGTCAGGACTTACCTACCATATAATAAGAAGATGCATATTATATGTCACTTTTCATTTGGACCAGCGCTAAAATCTAAATCAACACCTACCACCACCAATCTCCCACCAGAAAAGAACGCAAAAAGGTGTAGAAATTTGAGAATATATACGGACCCCAATCAGTGTAATGCTATATTCTACTTCTGCAAATAGTCTTGTGCACATACAACCCAAAATTGGATATTGTTTCCACCCAAGGCTAAGAATATCACATTATAATTTGGGTAGAGATTAATAGAAAATCCAATTGGAACTTATACTTTTACGTATGAATTATTCTGAAGATGCACACGTACTATATGTTTAATTAGATTTTGTTAATTTGTCTTTGGAAAGAAAACATTACTCTTTTATTTTTTTATTTTTGTCAAATGATGGAAAATTTGATTAAATAGGAATAGAAACGTACTCAATTTGCTTGTTTATGACTTGTCCATTACCCTCCTATCTTTTTTTCTCTTTTCATTTGGCTTTTTGGCCTTACTTTTATTTTTCAATTTGTCCTCGTTCCTGAAGAGTTCCTCCCTATGTCTTTACACTCACCAATCCCACTGGAGTTTGAGGCCAACTCTTATAAAAACCTATTCCTTTTTTCTTTTTCATATTATATTTAGCAGCCTGACCTGAAAATTTGAAGTAATCTCGTTCTTGTCGTGCTTTTCATTATACAACTTGAGCAAAGTTATTCATAAGTGGCTACCTTTTGCTTAGTAAAATATTTAAATGATGAAAGGCACATAGATAAAACTATAGTGTGATTTATCATATGAATAATATATTCCCTTCAATTTCTTAATACTACCACACGTACTTTCTTTTTCAGGATTAACAAAATTTATTTATCCTTAGTAGGTAATTACTTGTCTAAAATTCAATCTTCACAAATCAATTTCACTGACAAAGTCCTTGGTCATTATTGCATTAGAACCATAAAATATAAGGATGTGGAAAATGGTTTCCATGGATGATGCTACGACAGTCAAGAATCAAACTAATGTTGTAATTTCACATAAGATTTTTATCCAAAATGATCAATGAAATTGGCATAACTCCTCTCTTAATTCTTGAAAACTAAAAATTGTTAGAAGTGGATGTTTCTGAGTTTGTCCACCGTTAATCTTTTTGGTTCTTCCGTGAAAAATTTGTCAATATCCTCGTTAAATTGAGGGGTTGGTTTGTCAAAAATACCCTTAAAAAAGGTGATAATGTAATCGTTCACGTAAAAATTTAATGAGTATACTGACAGATTTCTCACTAAAGGACCAAAATAATTTCTGGTGGACAAATTCAGGGATCACTTCTATCAATTTTTATTGCCAATGATCACAATAAAGAGTTACGCAATCTCAATAATTATTTTGGCTAACACATTGTGATGATTAGTCCACTCTCTTCTCCTTAATGTAGATAATATCGTTCGTTAAAAGAATAATAAATTTGGAAATTTTCTTGGTGATTCACATCATACTATTGTAAGTTGGTAGTGGTAGGTGGCAAGCAAACCGCCATAACAAGGGACAGTCTCATAATTGAAGCTTGGAATCCTTATCTCCATTCATATGGTAAAAACTCCTTGTGTGGAATTAATTTATTTTTAGCTTTGAGATTTCAAGCTTCCAAGTCCCTATATAAAGGCATTGAGACAGATAGCAAACTCACAAGTAGAGCAAGAAGCAAAAGCTCATTTTACTGAACTTGGAATATTCCTCTCCCTTTTTTTTCTCTCTTTGCTTCTGTGCCTCTTCTTTTCATAACCCACAATGGCAGCAAGTTCCTCAGTTCTAATATTCTTCTTCATGTTCCTTGCTATATCTTCAGCCTTCCCAAAAAACAAAGACAAGTACAAACCATGCAAGCACTTAGTGCTATTCTTCCATGACATTATCTACAATGGCAAAAATGCTGCCAATGCTACATCTGCAATCGTAGGAGCCCCTCAAGGATCCAACCTAACCATCTTGGCGCCGAATTTTCATTTCGGGAACATAGCGGTTTTCGATGACCCCATTACACTCGACAACAACCTGCACTCCAAACCTGTTGGCAGGGCACAAGGGATGTACATATATGATACAAAGAACACATTCACTTCTTGGCTTGGCTTCTCATTTTCTCTAAACAGCACAGACTACCAAGGCACAATAAATTTCATCGGAGCCGACCCCATTATGATTAAATATAGGGACATATCCATCGTGGGTGGCACCGGAGACTTTTTCATGCACCGGGGAGTTGCAACCATAGACACGGATTCATATGAAGGTGAAGTCTACTTCAGGCTCAAGGTGGATATCAAGTTCTACGAGTGTTGGTAAATTTGAGATTGTTAAATAATATATATATATATATATATATTTAGTATTATGAGTTTTGGTATGTGGGAGTTACTGAGAATGGTCTTCAAATATGTTCTGTTTCATGGAATGCTTAATTAGAGTTTGCTAAGAATGAACTTGTAGTCCCTCAATAAGTGACATGCTTAAACAGTCACCTTTGTAATTTCAATCATTTTCCTTGCATATACTTCTGTTTGACAAAGAAGCTGCATTTTGATCCAGGTGAATGAATTTTACTTTATTTCTAATACAAGAGAAGTGAAGTTATAAAAATATTATAAGACTATCCACCTCCAAGAATTCATTTGGGAATGCACTTTTGTTTTATTATGAACATGTAGAAATATACACAAGAAGATCAAGAACAGAGGCGATTTAATTAGCACTTAATCGTGATCAGGTACCCTGATTCAATGGATGATTAAACGTGAAAATAGCTTATCATATTGTGAAAGGACTCGCAAAATTTTCCATTGTGGGATAAGGATACACTTAAAATACCTGACGGTCATATGTATTAGAAGAGATTCTAGCATATAATAACAGTATATTTATGTTAGTATGTCTCATCAAGTGACACACTTTCTGGTTTTTTTTTTTTTTGAAGGCAGATTGTCTGTCCTTCTGTTTGAATGTCATTCTCATCCTCTCTTATTTTATGTTGTTACGGTTAAGCCACATCAATATTTTATATTGATTTTTTTTATAGAGATAATAAGACAAAAAACAATAAGAATATAAAATATTGACGTAACTTAACCGTGATCGTGTAAATAAAAGGAATAAGAAAGGCATCCAAATAGAAGGGCAAACAATCTACCTTTTTTTTTTTTAATATCAAACTGTTTATACGCATAAGCAGTAAAAACAATCAAGTCACTTTCTTGGAAAGCAGGTTATGATTCCTAAAAATATATGAAAAGCTTAGAGGCAACTTGATGACTTCTTGAGTGGACTTGGAAGGGGACCAGCCGAGTGTTTGGATACATGATACGTCAACCGACTTTTTGGATTTCTTGGGCAAGTTTGACTTGTAGTACCAATCACAGGGTTTAATGATTTTGAAACCTATCCTTTATAGATAATATTATTTGTTATAAAAAATAAAAAATAAAAAATAAAAACTTGTGCTCTGTATAAAATCTCACTTTTTCCTTGTATTCTATTTCAATTATCTCACTTTATCACTTGTACTAATCTTTTCGTGTCCCACATTACCCAATTTCGTCAACTTTGATAGAAACAATGTTAACTTGCTAACAATGCATGGGTATTTTGGTAATTCTAGCCATTAAATTCTATTCTATTCAATTTCCTCTATTATATCATATTTACTTAATCTAATACAATTATTGTATAAACTCGTAACTTCCTCTGGTATATCATATTTACTGAATCCAATACGATCATTGTATAAACTAGTAATTTCTTCTGGTATATCATAGTGCTCTTTTGCCCCAAAGCTTTTAAAGACCATTTGTAAAACTGTGTTCCAAATCCCTTAATTTAGGGGTAAACGAATATGTGATTTTAGTATTTCACTACGTTCGGTGTGGAGCCAAAAATAATTACAAGGCGACATGTGGATTTTTGGATAGAAGAGGACAAAAATACCCTTGAGGCATACCGCGATTCCTACGCGCGAGCAGCGGACAATCATCCCTCAACCAAGTCAAAAGTGCCCAAAATAGGTAACAATTCAAAATCCATCTCATCAAATCCCTTCTACAAGGTAACTCCCAAAACCTATTTCATTCCATATATTTTTACCTCTTTTTCCCTCTTTTAGCTAATCAATTAGCTATCATTCCATAACTTACAAAATATTCCACATAAATTACATAACCTCCATTCCAAAAATGTGTTAATTGGCTAATTAATGGATTAATTACTTAATTAATCCATTAATTGACAAATAACTCACACATTAAACCACAAAATACACACAAAAAGCATCCCAAAGGCCGGCCACCTTTTCTCCAAAGGGGACCGACCATGCCCTATAAGTACTACCCATTTTTCTCTAAAAACCTAGTTCCACACTCTTGCAAAACTCCCAAAAACTCTCCAAACACTTTTCTCTCTAAATTCTAACTTTGGCATCGGAGGTTCTTCGGCCAAAGCCCCCCTTTCATCGTGGGCACGTGACGCTCTTGGTATTGACCTAAGGTGTTAATTGTTTTGTAGGTCCAATTTTGTCCAAGAAGAAGAAGGCGGAAATTTGAATCCACAAATTGGTGCTTTAATTGAGAGTTGAAGTACACACACTCATAGAAGACTCTCGCATAAAAGGTTTTTCTCTATTTTTTATTGTCCATTTGTATATTTTTCGTACGTTCTTATTATTAGAATTTTTTATTTGCAAAGATTCTTTGATAAAATGTAAAAAAGAAAATACAATGGCTAGAGATTTAGAAAATTCTGCAAGTGAAAATTCCAATATTCAAGAAATGGGACCGCGGCGATCCACGAGGCTAAATGTGATCATAGGTGAGCAGCATCACCGTTACGGGGCTCCATCATGGCAACCACCGCGGTGGCCACCACCCGCGACAAGGTCCATGGCACCACTACCACAGCCCAAGCCATGCCATCCAAGCTTGCAAAGGCCACAACCCAAGCCATGTCACTCCAAGCCCAGCACGAGCCCAATGCGTTGCCAAGCCGAGCCCAAGCCTCGCACTTGCATGCATCACGCACTGAGCAGCCTGCTCCCGTGGCCAATCCTACTCCCGCGACCCAGCTGGCTCTTGTAGCCCAGCCTGCTCCCGTGGCTCCCGCCGAGCAGCCTACTCTCGTGGCCCAGCCTACTTCCATGGCATTCCAAGTAGCCCAAATCGATCCAAGATTAGTTCAACCGTCCCGGCTTCAAATTTATGGGTCTACAATTAAATCGAGGGCATTTTCACCACGTCTCTGTGGATTTGACATTTCCCAATTCAAATCTTGCGCTTGGAGCCTACCATACTTCCACTACTCAATGAGGCACATTTCTTCCAAGCTCTTCCAGTTTAAATGGCGAACAACACTTGTCTCGACAAGTCATAGAGTTGACGAGCGCCTTTGCATAACAAACAACCTTGGTGAATCAACTCTTGCAACGCACCGAGATCCAACGTGCCCCGAACGAGGTGTCCCAAAGTAAGACAAGAGCAGATGAACCTCTCCACCAGCGTCCCAGTAAACAGCCCATCAACCAGCCACGATTCGAGCGTTCTGGTAGTTTACGCTCCCGCCTAGGTCCTTAGGATAACGTATATTATTGCCTTAGCGCTCGAAGGAGCGTGCATTCCCGATCAAGCCCATGGATGAGCATACGTTCACGGTTAAAGTCACACTCCAATTATCAATATGGACAACCTTCCAGGCGAAATGTTCATTCACAACTAAGCTCACAAAGAGTATTATCTACCTCACATTGGAGTAGACAGCACGGTAGACAGAGAGAAGCAGTCACTCAATCCGACTCAAGTTCAACCGGCAGCCTGCCAGCAGCCTGTTCGCCTGCTAGGAACATGCCACATGCACCATAACCGCAATATAAATGAGTCGAGCATAGGAAAGAATGGCCCAAACCAGTAAGTCATGATCGGGGGCAACTGGAAGTTCCATTGCCCCAGCAGAGGCAAATTCAAGAAGAACTTGAGAGGCTCCTACCTGAATGATTACGTAATTTCCAATGTAACGAGCCTACTGATGATGTGCTTCAACGAGACATGACCAACATAAGCATGTCACCATTCACGAATGAAATCGAGCAGACATATCCACCTCGCGGGTTCACTATGCCTTATTTCACTTTGCACAAGGGAGATGAAGATCCAGATCAACATCTCAAGCACTACAGCAATACCATGATCCTCTATAGGAATAACGATGCGCTTATGTGCAAACTTTTTGCCACAACTCTACAAAGCGGAGCGCAAGACTGGTTTTACACTCTACCATCGTAGTCAATCTAGAGTTTCAACGAACTTTCCTTTGTTTTCACTAAGGAGTACTCGTCTAATCGCTCAATCAAAAGGACATCCGACCATCTCTTCAGCATCGTGAAAAACCCTTGGGAGACAATTCGAGACTATGTCAAGAGGTTCAAAGTGGAGAAGGCCAAGATTGTTGGCTGCAACGATGACATAGGAATGGCAGCATTTAGAAATGGGCTTCCCACCGAACATCCTTTATTTAGAAAACTGATCATAGGAGAAGAACTGACCCTAGCAGCTTCGTATGCTTTGGCAGAAAAACATGCACTATGGGACGAGGCCAAGCAATCTAACAAAAATGAGTTAGAAAAAAAGCACATGGAATGTTCCCTGACCAAAGAAGACTCAGTGCCTCAAACATTCACCAAGTTCACGGTTCCAATTGGCCAAATTCTCCGCAAGCCCAAGAACGAACCTTGGTTCAAACTGCCGCCACCCATGAAAAGCAATCTTACCAGGCTAGATCATACAAAGTATTGCGCATTCCATCAAGGACCAAGCCACACTACCAACGGCTGCCTAAAGTGGAAGCAATACCTTAAGAAGCTGACAAATGAGGGCCAATGCGACGAGTATCTTAATAGGTCGATAAAACGACCTACACAAGCAGAGGAAGTCTCTATCACCCACTAAAACCCATTTGGGCTTTTCTAAATAAGTTCGAAGTCTCAGGCAGCTCAATGAATAAGGCCTCGTAAGCCGAAGATTATCCAGTTTGTTATGCAGTTTACACACAGTTGATTTATTTCTTTATTCTCAATGAAGATTCAAGAAGTTACTCATAAGCCTGGCTCAACTGCTGTCTACAACAACTGCTCAAAACCTTTTCTGGGTCTGTTCTCCAGTGCGAGAGAGTAAACCAATTTCTTAACACCCATATGGGTTTGCTCACTAGTGCGAGAGGATAAACTAATTGTTCACCAGTGCGAGAGGGTAAACCAATTCCCTAACACCCATATGGGTTTGCTCTCCAGTACAAGAGGATAAACTAATTGCTCTCCAATGCGAGAGGGTAAACTAAATCCCCGACACCTATCTAGGTAAGCCTTCCAGTGCAAGAAGGCCACATAACTCAAAATCTCGAATGCTTGAAGATCAACTAGGCAACAAATGGTTAGGGGGCAGCAGCCACTTTTACACTTAACAGTTTGCTCATCCCACACTTCATCTTTAGCAACTCCGATCTTGGCAGCTTCATCC